AAGCCCTTCCGGGGATCACGGCGGGGATGGCGGAACAGGTGATTACGGAGAATTGGACGTCGATGGTGATAGCAGTGGTGACGCAGCCACCGCAAATGGCGGCGATTCTGGTAGCGATGGCAGCACCGGGGGCGACGGTGGAGGAGGGGGAGTCGGGGGAAAACAGGCGGAGTCTCCCCCGAGCCTTTCTCCGCCAACGCCCGCCTCCCCCTCACTTTCCGCCAAACCGCTCCCATTGCTACCGTTACCTTCGCGCTCTCCCCCCGCTAATCCGCCCCCCTCCAAATCGCCCTCTCCTCCGCCAAAGCCAGCCTCTCCTCCGCCGAACTCGCCTCCGCCTCCTCCGAAGTCTCCGCCCCCTTCCCCTCCGCCGAAATCGCCCCCATCTTCCCCTACGCCGAAGTCTCCGCCGCCTTCCCCTCCGCGGACCGCCTCACCGTCCGCTGCTACCGTGCTGTCATGGGGCGGGTTTAAGGTGCACGCCGGTTCTAATACCACCGGAAGTAGCGGCGAGGCCAGCACTAATACCAGTGGCAGCAAGAACTCCGCGAGTAAGAGCAGCAGCAGCGGCGGCGGAAGCAGCAGCAGCAGCGGCGGCGGCGGCAGCGGCGGCAGCAAGAACAGCAGCAGCGGCAGCGACGGCAGCGGCGGCAGCAGCAGCGGCAGCAGCGGCAGCGGCAGCGGCAGCGGCAGCGGCAGCGGGGGCAGCGGGGGTAGCGGGGGCGGATCAAGCCGTAGCACACCAACATCGCTGCGCTCATCTGAGTCGGGCTTTAAGGACCGGAACGGCATTAATACTACTGGTAATAACTCCAGCAACCCTGGTAGCGGCACTAGGAACTCTACCATCAGCGGCAATGACGGCGGTCAACCCGCTAAGTCGCGATCCCCGCCGCCTTCCCCGCCCCTGACTTCCATGACACGCCGCCTCCCGCCTAGCGGAAGCGGTGGGAGCAGCAGTGGGAGCGGAAGCAGCGGCGGAGCGAAGAGCAGTGGGAGTGGGAGTGGCACAGACGCTAGTGGGAGCGGTGGGAGTGGAGGCTCAAAAAGTACTCCCCCTTTACCTGCTGCTGGCAATGTTTTCAAATGGAAAGCTGGTGGCAACACCAGTGGCAGCAACAGTAGCGGTAGCAGTAACAGTGGTAACGGCGACGGTAACAGTACCAGTAGTGGGAGAAGTGATAGCAACTCAACAGCTCCTGTTGCCAAGCGACCTATAAGTCCGCGGTTGAATGGCAGTAGCAGTGGCAGCAGGGGCAGCAGCAGCAACACCAGTAGCAGCAGCAGCTGCAGCAGCAGCAGCAGCAGCAGCAGCAGCAGCAGCAGCGGCGGCGGCAGTGGTAACGGCGGCTGTAACTCTTCTGGTGCTCGAGCGATGACGCATCGAAACAACACCAGCAGCAGCAACAGCAGCAGTAATAGCACCAGTAACGGCAGCAGCAGCGGTAGCAATACCACCAGTAACAGCAGCAGTAATACCACCAGTAGTACCAGTAACAGCAGCAGCAACAGCAGCAACAGCAGCGGTAGTGGCGGCAGTTATTCCTCTGGTGCCCGAGCGATGACACGACGAAACAACACCAGCAGCAGCAACAGCAGCAGTAATAGCACCAGTAGCGGCGGAACCAGCAGCAGTGGTAGTGCCACCAGCAATAGCAGCAGCACCACCAGCAGTAATACCACCGGTAATTCAAGCAGCAGCAGCAACAGTAGCAGCAGTATTACAAGTTCCACTATCAAGGGCAAAGGCTTCAAATTCAACCTGAAGAACAGCGGTAGCAGCAGCAATGGCGGCAGCAACAACAGCAGCGGCTCCTCCCGGCCATCCACCAGCTTTGCTCAAGGCCTCTCCAGCACGCACAGCAGCAGCACGGGTGGAGAGGGGTGGGAGAGCGGGAGTGACACTAGTGCGGGGAACGGAGGAGAGAGTGGGTCAACGTTTAGGAGGAGGCAGAGCGTACCGACGGCCAATGCTGCAACGTACAGCGTCAAGCTTGGTACTGCTGCTGGTCCTGACGGCAGCAGCAGCGGCAGCAGCAGTGGCAGCAGCGTTTGGAGGGGCGGGAACGACATCGCTGTTGCTACTGCTGTTGATGATACTGGTGATGGTGGTGGTGGTGGCGGTGGTGCTGATGGTGGTGCTGCTGATGGTAGGGGTGAATATGGGACGACTGGTGGTGCTGACTCTGGCTCGGACGAAGCAGGCGATGTGGGAGGATATGACATCGATGGTGATTATAGTGATTTGGGCGGCGATGGGGGTAGTGACGCCGCCACTAACGGAAGCAATGAGGCAGGCAGGGAGGAAGGCAAGGAGGGGGGAAGGGAAGGGGGCAATGAGGCGGGCAGTAACGGTGGTGGTGGTGACAGCGTGAATGCTACGTCCACCAAACTTCAGGTGGGTGGTACAAGCACAAGGGCACAGTCTTCCTCCCCACCCAACCTCTGGTGGCACTCGTTGCTAGACGCGGGAGGGACTTATGGGGGGGGAGGGCTAGGGGGATACTCGGATGGGGTGGCGGAGGGGGGTAAGGACGGCGGAGATGGGGCGGGAGAGGGGGGTGAGGGGAGTGTGGGAGGTAAGCTGGGTGTGCAAGAGGCGTCGGTTGACTATAGCGAAAGTGACTCTCAGGGGTTTAATATTGATGGTGGCGGTGAAGGGGAAGGTGATGCTGACACTGATGCTGATGCTGATGGGGATGAGGATGGGGATGAGGATGGAGATGGGGATGGGGATGGGGATGGGGATGCTGATGGTGATACAAGCGACCATGAGGGGTCTGACTGGAGCAGCTCTAGTGATGGAGGGGTGGATGTGACTGTGGGTAGTGTTGCTGGTGATGATGGTAATGATGATGGGAGTGATGATGGTACTGATGATGGTGATGATGTTACTGATCATGGTAGTGATGACAATGCTAGTGATGGTGATGCTTATACTGGGTTCGATATAGACGGAGGTACCGGCACTGATTCCATAGCTGCTGGCTCCGGGGCAGACAATGCTTCTGAAAATGCCGCTGGTGGAGTCACAGGAAGTAGCAGTGATTATGGCGCTCGTAAAAATCCTCAGAATCAGCCTGATGTCAAGGGTGGCGGCACCGGTGGCGGCGGCAGCAGCGGCGGCAGTGGCGGCAGCGGTGGCAGTGGCGGCAGCGGTGGCAGTGGCGGCGGTGGTGGGGGCAGCGGTGACAACATCTCGGATTACATGAGCGAAGTGGGAGATTACGAGGAGAGCCAGGGGAAGCGCGTCGACGACGGCAGCAGCATCAGCGCCATTGACTACCTGCAAACCAGCAGCGGCGATGGGTCTTCTGACTCGTCTGACTCGTCTGATTCGTCTGACTCTTCTGACTACTACAACCACGCTTCTGGAGATGCTTCTTCTGACAGCCACAGCAGCCACTCCCTCGTCCCGATTTCTACGGAGTTGTTGGGTCTTCGATCCACCTTTACACCTCAACCCAGCAGCGGCAGCAGCAGCAGCAGCAGGCACGGCCCCTCCTCCTCTCCTTCCTCCTCCTCATCCCCCCCTCCCAGAACCAGCAGCAGCAGCAGCAGCCGCATGAAGTCTGGCCGAGTCTCGCCCTCCCCCTCGCCTTCCTCCTCCTCCTCCCCCTCTCACATGTGGCCCTCCACCTCTCCCTCTTCCCCCTCCTCCTCTCCCTCCTCCTCTTCTCCTTCCCCTGCCACCGACCACCAGTCGGGATTCAAGGGAAGACAGGGCAGCAGCAGCAGCAGCAGCAGCAGCAGCAGCAGCAGCAGAGGGAGAAGTAGCAACCCCGACCCTCACTCCCAGCTGAAACACACTCCGTCTCGAATCTCAGTCCCCGCTCCTACTGCCCCTACCGCCCCTGCCCCCCCGGGTTTCCACAACAAAGATCCTAAGCCCCCTGCCACGGGGGACAGGGGGAAGAGCAGCAACAGCGGCAGCGGGAGTGGCGGAGGGAGAGGAGAGGGGGGCGGTGGGGGGTCGGGAAGGAGTGGAGGTGGAGGGGGTGGAGGTTGGGGGGGGGAGGCTTCAGGCGGAGAGAGTGTGGCTCAGCTGTACCTGCTGCCTAGGAACGAGTCACGGGCGAGATGTTTGGACGGCAGGTGAGGATGGGGAAAGGGGGAAGCGAGACGGGGTGAGGGTCAAGGCTGGAAGAGAGTGACAGGGAGGGGGAGGGGGAGAATCAGAGGGGGTTGGAGAGTTTTGAAATGGAAGCTGTGATGCCGCACTGTCCTTCCTGCTTCTCTCCACATTCTTAGTCACGCTTGGTCTCTCTAAGAATCCTCTTTGTTGCTTCCTGTGGCTTTCTCGCTTTGTTACATTACATCTTCTCCTCTCCGCTCCCCTCTCACCGTCTCAACCCGCGTGTCTCACAGCAGTGCTGTGGGCTACTACCTCCGCAGAGGATACGGATCAGGGGCCAAGAAATGGATTCTCTTTCTAGTTGACTTTTGAGTCAACTCAAAAGCCCTCTTCCCCCCTCTCCCCTCTCGCCATCTCAACCCGTGTCTCACGGCAGTGCTGCGGGCTACTACCTCCGCAGAGGTTACGGATCAGGGGCCAAGAAATGGATTCTCTTCCTAGAGGTGCGCCCATTCGCCTTCACCTGATTTTCGAGACGTCTCAATAAGCCTATCCGCCTTGAGCTGTGCGCAAGGTGCTATACGCTCTTTTCCATGACTCCCATGTGTGGAATGCCGTTTGAAACGCTCCCTCTCTAACCGTCTTGCCTTCTGTCTGTCTCCCCCCCCATGCACTCCCCATGCGCTCCTCCCCTCCCCGCGCCTCTCCTACCCGCGCCTCTCCTCCTTGCTCCTCCCTTCCATCCCCACGGCATTGCATCCCACGGTGCGCGGTGGTACTGAGAGCAGGGCGGGGGGTGGTGTTTCAACCCCAAGCAGTGCACCGCACGAGCCAAGGGACCTCTCGGGAGCTCCAGGCAATGGGCATCAACTAATGTGAGCCTCGCCGCACCCATGCCGGCTCGCACCCATGCCAGCTCGCACCCATGCGGCTCGCACCCATGCGGCTCGCACCCATGCGGCTCGCACCCATGCGGCTCGCACCCATGCGGCTCGCACCCATGCTGCTTGCACCCATGCCAGCTCGCACCCATGCTGCTCTTGGCGTTTTCATTTCCACCTCCCCTTTGTTTCAGCGCTGCCCACAGCACAATCCAGCCTGGGGAACCAACCTTTGTATTTTCTCGTCCCCCAAACAACAAGCATCCAATCCAACCACAATCACCCCCACTCCCTCCCCCTCCCCACCTCAAACCGCCAAACCTTTCCACTGCTGCGCCCGCTCCCCCCCCCAGCCGCTCAACTTTGGAGGGGTAGCGAGCACGGAGAGCCGAGTGAACCCGGTGTTCTACAACTGGAACTTCGTTCTTCTCAAGTACTGCGACGGCGCCTCCTTTGCCGGCTCTGCCTTCGGCCGCCCCGCCAAGGCACACGCTCCCAGCAACCGGGGGAGCAGCCATGCTGCTGCTGCTGCTGCTGCTGCTGCGGTGGGAGGGGCAGAGGCGGCGGAGGCAGGAGGTTCGGGTGATCCGCAGACGCTGTTTTACATGGGGCACTGGAACCTGCAGGCTGCTATGCAAGGTGAGGGCTGAGGGGCGGAGGGGTGGAGGGGGTAACACTGAAGGAACCACCCTAGTTACTCTCATGCTGTTTTACATGGGGCACTGGAACCTGCAGGCTGCTATGCAAGGTGAGAGAGAGGGGAGGAGGAGGACGGCTGAAGGAACCACCTGTTTCACTCTCCTGGTCTTCTCTACATGGGGCACTGGAACCTGCAGGCTGGTTTAAAATGTGGAAGGCGAGAAGAGTGTTGAAGGGAAGGTTTGAGCCATCTCAGAACCTGCCCACACACCTCCTCGTGACCCACCCCCACTCACCCATCCTCACCCAGTCACCCCCACCCCCAACCACTCACTCCCTCTCCCCGCGCAGACCTGCTGGTGCGGGGGGAGATGGCGCAGGGAACAGACGCGTTGGTGGGTGGGTGCAGTGCGGGGGGGCGGTGGCAATGTCTATGGTGTGCGACCCCATCGCTGCATGGCATGGCAGCATGGCTCTAGCAGGCGCAGGCGCTCTTGAGAATTCCCAAGAGTTGCCCCAGCGCGCTCCCGTTCCCGCTTCCTCACCCTCTTTACTCAACCACACTCCCTCGCACTCCCACACACTCCCTCGCACTCCCGCACACTCCCTCCCACTCCCACCCACTCCCCACCCTGCGCAGACCTGCTGGCACGGAGGGGCATGAATCAGGGCACGGATGCGCTGGTGGGCGGGTGCAGTGCCTCATTCCGGAACCCCACTCCTTCTAACCCACCCCACCCCCTCCCACTCCCAATCAGACCTGCTGGTGCGGCGGGGCATGAATCAGGGGACAGACGCGCTGGTGGGCGGGTGCAGTGACTCATTCCGGAACCCCACTCCATAACCCACTCCCACTCACCCGTCCACCCTGTGCAGACCTGCTGGTACGGAGGGGCATGAATCAGGGAACAGACGCGCTGGTGGGTGGGTGCAGTGCGGGGGCGGTGGCGGTGTCTATGGTGTGCGACCCCATCGCTGCATGGCTCGCTCGCTTCCGCATCCGCACCAAGTGCTTTATGGACGCGGGGGTCTTCCCAGGTGCGTGCATGTGGTGGGTTGTGTGTGGGGTCCCATATGGCAGGCGTGTGTGGTTGTGCAGTTGACCAAAAAGGTTGCTTCCGCATCTGCACCAAGTGCTTCATGGACGCAGGGGTCCGTGGGGTGTGTGTGGGAGGTGTGTGCAGGAGGCAGAGATTCTGCTTTTGAGGCGCCTCAAATGCAGGAGGCAGAGATTCTGCTTTTGAGGCGCCTCAAATGCAGGAGGCAGAGATTCTGCTTTTGTGGCGCCTCAAATGCAGGAGGCAGAGATTCTGCTTTTGAGGCGCCTCAAATGCAGGAGGCAGAGATTCTGCTTTTGAGGCGCCTCAAATGCAGGAGGCAGAGATTCTGCTTTTGAGGCGCCTCAAATGCAGGAGGCAGAGATTCTGCTTTTGAGGCGCCTCAAATGCAGGAGGCAGAGATTCTGCTTTTGAGGCGCCTCAAATGCAGGAGGCAGAGATTCTGCTTTTGTGGCGCCTCAAATGCAGGAGGCAGAGATTCTGCTTTTGTGGCGCCTCAAATGCAGGAGGCAGAGATTCTGCTTTTGTGGCGCCTCAAATGCAGGAGGCAGAGATTCTGCTTTTGAGGCGCCTCAAATGCAGGAGGCAGAGATTCTGCTTTTGAGGCGCCTCAAATGCAGGAGGCAGAGATTCTGCTTTTGAGGCGCCTCAAATGCAGGAGGCAGAGATTCTGCTTTTGAGGCGCCTCAAATGCAGGAGGCAGAGATTCTGCTTTTGAGGCGCCTCAAATGCAGGAGGCAGAGATTCTGCTTTTGAGGCGCCTCAAATGCAGGAGGCAGAGATTCTGCTTTTGTGGCGCCTCAAATGCAGGAGGCAGAGATTCTGCTTTTGTGGCGCCTCAAATGCAGGAGGCAGAGATTCTGCTTTTGAGGCGCCTCAAATGCAGGAGGCAGAGATTCTGCTTTTGAGGCGCCTCAAATGCAGGAGGCAGAGATTCTGCTTTTGTGGCGCCTCAAATGCAGGAGGCAGAGATTCTGTTTCTCCTCTGGATTGCGCTCATCTGCTCACCTCACTGCCTCCGCATCCACACCAAGTGCTCCCCCCCCTCATCCCCCACTCCCCCCCTCCTCGTCACACGAGGCGGATTACTATGGGCAGCGCACACCATCTCCCCTTTTCCACTTATCCATCACAACCCCCCTCCCTCCCTCTCTTCCCCCACCCCACTTCTCTCGCCAGACATGGTGGATTACTACGGGCAGCACTCGCTGCGGCGTGAAATAGGACGAGTTTTGAGGCGCCTCAACACCCCGCCCTCCCTCTATTCCCCCATCCCCTCCTCGCTCGCCAGACGTGGTGGACTACTACTGGCAGCGCTCGCTGCGGCGCAAGGTGCAGCACACACCAGTTACCCTTCTCCCTCCCTCCCTCGCCCACCTTTCCCCCACTCTCCCTCCCCCCACCCCATCACCCTCCCGCCAGACGTGGTGGACTACTACGGGCAGCGCTCGCTGCGGCGCAAGGTGCAGCGCATGGCGGGCGCTCAGAACATCAACCGCGCCGGCATCAGCTACTCCTGCAAGCAATGTAAGCTGCAAACTAATGCTGAGAGCAACCCGTATCAACCCAAAACACCCCTCCCTGTGTGGTCTTCATGGTTTCTGCCTCCTCCTACTAGCTGTTCTGTTGTCTCATCGGTCATCCTCTGGATCGGCTACTCCGCTATGAGTTTGGAGCTGTTCTCTTGTCACATCGGTCATCCTCGCGCCCTAAAACTCCAGCCGTTCTCCACCTCAACTAGACCTCTTCCCCCTCTTTTCCCCCTCCTCCCCCCTCCTCCCCCATCCTCCCCCCCTCCTACCAGCGCTGGGCAGCAGCAAGGAGGCATGGAAGTGTTTCTTCCCAGAGTACGATCTCAACTTCGTCCGCACGCCCATGTTCCTCGTCAACTCCCTCCCTGAGGCTCCCCTAAAGTAGCCCTCTCTCCCTTCACCCTCCCCCCCTCCTACCAGCGCTGGGCAGCAGCAAGGAGGCATGGAAGTGTTTCTTCCCAGAGTACAATCTCAACTTCGTCCGCACGCCCATGTTCCTCGTCAACTCTCTCCTCGACTACAAGGCAGTCGCCATCGCCCTCGCTCCCCGCAGCAAAACCCGCTCCAACCCGCTCCTCCGCTGCATGCGCTCTCCGCGCTTCTCCTCCTGCTCCGCTCTACAGCTCCGCCTACTCCGCGACTTCTCCCACCGCGTCAACAGCACGATATACGGCATCGTGCGCACGAGAGCCGCGGCGCGCGTCCCGTTCCGCGCGTTTACTTTCAGCGCGTCGACACATTGCGTGATAGGAAGCTCGTATTGGAGCAGTTTACGTATGGGCATGCGGGATGCGGACGGGGGCGGCGGGGAGGGAGGTGGCGGTGGGAGTGCGAGTGCGCTGGGTGTGAGCGTGCGGGATGTGAAGGATATAGTAGGGGCAGGTGGAGAAGGCGGGGGAGGTGGTGGTGTCAGTGATGTGATGAGCAGCAGCGGGTTTGAAGGCGGCTTTGGTGGCGGATTTGGGGGCGGAAGCAGGGAGGCCACTTTGGAAGGGAGGTTCACAGATTGGTACTTTTCGTGATTACGAGTCACGAAGAAACACCGGAGAGTTGGATATGGGAGAGGTGAAAGGGACAGGGGGGGGAGGGAGAGTGAGATACCAGCGGCTGCAACAAGCCATGCTTGCTCTCAAGGCAGACCTTGCTTCCCTGTTGCAAATACTGAACAGCGTGTGGGATGATGAGACAAGCAAGCGGAGCAGATCCAAGGCAAGCAGAGGAACCAGCTGTCCATGAGGATGGAAATACCACCATACACACCATACACACCATACACACCATACACACCATGCACACCATACACACCATACACACCATACACACCATACACACCATACACACCATACACACCATACACACCATACACACCATACACACCATACACACCATACACACCATACACACCATACACACCATACACACAATACACACCATACACGCACGAGGCCATGGAAGCTTTTCCATCATGCTGAGAGTGCTTCTTGCGGGCCAGACATCGCAAGAGGTGCTCTCATAATGAGGGCAAGCAGGCAGAAGAAGCAAGTTTACGGTATTTGTGGAACAAGCCGGGCACATCTAACCTCCCGTCACCTCCTCCTCCCCACCGCCCGCCCCTCTTCACCCCACACACAAAGGACTAACTGGCTGGGTGCGTGACAGCAGCTTGATGCAGCCTGTACAGAAAAGGGCCTTTCCCGGTGCTTCGAAAAGTTGCAGCAGCCTGTTCAATGGAAGCCACTCTTTTGAGGCGCTGCGTGACAGCAGCTTGTTCAGCTGTGTCTTTTCTAGTTTCCTCCGTCAGCAGCAGCGTCAGCATCAGCAGCAGTGCCAGGACTACTAGTCCTCCAGTACCTATCTGTCTTGCCTGCATACTTGCTCAGAACTACTAACCACTAACTTGCGTTATTTAGGTTCCATCATACCATGCCATGGGTACCGGTACTACATAAGTAATTGCATATAATTTTGAAGTACAGTAAGTGGAGCATAGCAAGAATTCAGTGTGGTTTATAACTGTGTAAGGAATTTTCTCGACATTCCTTACCGCAACCATCAACATCGCGTACAGCAGCAGCCGTTGTTCGCCCGTTACTGCTAACAGGGCTTCGCCAACTTCGCGCGCCCTGTTTCACCAAACCTTGCACTGCTGGCCCAGCCGAGTCGGCCTACGCTTCGGGACTAGCCCGAACCTCCATGCCAGTGTAGCACTAGCTAGCTCGCACGCACCACGTAACCATTGCATGTTTTCGCACATAGTAAGTATTCGCTCATTCTTTGTACTCTTTTGACACTCTAGTGCAATCCTCGCTACTTCGTTCCATTGAACCCGTAAAACTTGGTATTCAGAGCCTCTTTCCTTTCGGACTGCGGATCTCCGCACCCCAGGAAATCAACTTTTGATTTTTTCACTCGAAGGGACTCACGCCCCTTAGCACCTAGGAGCCGCTGTCCTCGCGTTCTCTCGTAAACGCGTGCAGCCACGACTGCGCCTAGACTAAGCTGAGCCGACACCCTTCGACATGGCTGAACACATCGACGTCACTACACTCACGCAGGACCGTTTGAACGAACTGCTGCAGCAACTTCGCGAAAGCTCTGAAGAAAACGCGGCGCTGACGGCAGAACGCACGTCCCTGCAGAATGACGTCGCACGAGCACAACAAACACAATCGCAAGCACAAGGCACACCGGGACAACCCGCACCACAAGCATCACAGCACGGAAGTGTGAAGCAACCCACGAGCGCGGCCAGTGATGGCGTCGTCCGCAACGACGGAGACGACAACCACGGCACGACACACCCCAAAGCGACGAATGCGGCCAGAAATCAACCTCGCGTCACAATTTCAGTGCCGACCGGCAAGTCAACATTGCATTAGCCGATGCCGCTGAAGCCGCAGCGTCCGCCATGCTTTGACCCGAGTCAACGGGGTGGTCCTACCGTTCAGGCGTGGTTGTTCACGATGAACGTTTTCTTCGACGCCAACTACGTCTCGGAGGATACGGCGAAGATTCGCTACGCCGTGTCGCTGCTGCAAGGACCCGCCATGGATTGGTGCGTATCATCGTCATGAAGCCGACGGACTACGAGACTCTACCGACACGAGAATTACAAACCGGACCCTGGGCGCCGTCGTATTTTGTGGAGGTGCCCCAATATCGCACGTGGGACGCGTGGTGCGCAGGTCTGCGCTCTCGATTTGAGCCAATTGCGGCTTCAATCATAGCGCGTCAGAATCTCCGCACTTGGCGCCAATTCGGTTCCGTCCAGGATTACACCAGCGGGTTTCTGGCGATGTGTGAGCAGGTGGGATACATGCACGAGAGCGAGCGCATCGACCGCTACATCGGCGGCCTAAAGCACGAAATCGCTCAGGAAATCCAGCTCCGCAGCGTCACCGAATTTCAAGAGATTCTCGCTATGGCGGAGAAGCTCGACTTTTTCCACCGACCGAGACCGGGGTCCTACGGAAGTAGCAGCAACTGGGGACATCGGTCTCGTGGGACGAACGAAGGTGCCACGATACGAGCCATCGCCGTGAATGCCGCTGCCGCACCGTTTAAAGGGCACTGCTTCGCATGCAATCGGCCGGGACACCGCAAAAGCGAATGCCCGGAAAATGCTAAGGGAAAGGGGGAAGCTGAGCAGCAGAAACAGACCAAGCAGGAGGGAAACGCTGGGAGTCAGTAGTAGACGGGCCCTCTACCTCGCTGGGGCTCGCCTGAGTCTTCGTCGGTATGTGTCAACGCAATCACCATGAATCGCGCTGTAGCGGCAGGAGATGATGTGTACGCGGTTGACATTCGGGAAGCCGAGGTAGCAGACAAGGGAAGCGACGTAGGGAAACTGCTAGCTGACATACCGGATGACCTGGCGGCACTACTGAAGCAGTACAGTGGGATTTTTCTGGACGATCTGCCAACAAGAATGCCACCTCAGCGACTACACGACCACAAGATAGAACTAGAACCGGGGGCACAGCCGACAATACAGCGACAGTTCCGACCGACCCAACCCGAACTGGATGAACTGAGTAAGCACCTGGATTACCTGCTCGAGAAGAAGTTCATTCGACCGAGTTCGTCACCCTTCGCATCACCGATACTGTTCACACCGAAAAAGGACAGGGGATTTCGCATGTGCATAGATTACCGCGCACTTAACGAATTACCATCAAGTCCCGTTACCCCATCCCACGAGCCGACGAACTGCGCACAGCCTGGGTTTTCTCGAAAATCGACCTTCGAGGAGGTTACCACCAAATCCGCATCAACCCACCCGACTGCCCGAAAACAACTTTCTGTACACGCTACAGATCCTTCGAATAGACCGTCATGCCATTCGGACTGACCAACGCCCCCGCCACTTTTCAAATGACCATGAACGAAGCCTTCCGCCCGCTTTTAGATAAGTGCGCCATCGTGTACTTAGACGACATACTGATTTACAGCACCGACAGAGCACAGCACCTACAGGATATCCTGAGTGAGAACCGCCTACTGACGAAAGCCTCTAGGTGTGAGTTTTTACAAGACAGACTGGAGTTTTTAGGGCATGTTATTTCAGCTGACGGAGTGGAAATAGACCCAAAAAAGATCGCGACGATTCAAGCATGGCACGCGCCGACAAATTTGACTGAGCTGCAGAGTTTTTTGGGGTTCGTCAACTACGTGCGCCGGTTCGTCCCCGACATGGCAAAGTTGACTGCTCCGTTGACCGACCTGCTGAGGAAGGGGGTTGAGTACACGTGGGGGGGGGGAAGAGCAAGCTGCCTTCTCGGCCCTCAAATAATTTTTGTGCTCACCGCCCGTGCTTCACATCGTAGATCCGCACCGTCCGTTCGAACTCGTCACCGACGCAAGTGACATCGCCGTGGGAGCAGTAATGTTGCAGGACTTCGGGAACGGCCTTCAGCCAATCGCATACGAGTCCTGCAAGCTTCACCCGCCCGAACGTAATGTCAAAATCCCAACCACTAGACCATGGGGATAAAAGGGCTTGTTAAGTAGCGGGTCAGTGCGCCCATAACCCCCCAGGACAACGAGCCTGTAACCCTTCCCTAGGATCAATCGGGGATCACCAGTGGACCTCTGACATTCGACACCCTACAGGCATCAAGAGGATCAAGTTCCTCGTTCGCTGGAAGGACCGCACGCCAACTGAGGAGAGCTGGGTGCCCCTGGCCAACATTGAAAACCACCCTGCCCTGCAAGTGTACCTGAGGAGCAGGGGTTTCCTCAATATACACGCACTCGCGTAGCGGAGGGGGCTTCTTGAGGGGGGGGGGGGGGGGTAGTGTAAGGAATTTTCTCGACATTCCTTACCGCGACCATCAACATCGCGTACAACAGCAGCGGTTGTTCGCCCGTTACTGCTAACGCGGCTTTGTTCGAATGACTTAGTAGTGCCTAGGGTGTGAGTGCTAGGCAAGTGTCGAGAGTAGGAAGGGAGAGCAAGGAAAAAGTGTTTCACTAAGAGAACAAGGTACAAGATATAGGAGCGAGAGGTGGCAAAGGGTGCACCACCTACAGGGACTATAACAGTAACTACATTACAGCTATAACTATATGCTGTTATACATAAATATATATAAAATATATTCTGACACACCCCCTAACTGCATGTAGGAATAGCCATGTGCAGAACACCCCCTGAAGGGGTACACCCTGCGCAGCGGAAGGAGAGGGCAAGTGAGGAGGAGGAGGGATCTTGAGAGGAGAGGAGGTGGTGGGCGGCGTCTGAAGCTGCTGGCACACGGGCAACTCTGGCACACTGTCAAATGGAGCATATGGCACACGGGAAACTGGATTAACTGGCTCCGCGGCTAAGCGAGCGGCAGGAGCAACTGACCCACGGGCGACAAGAGCAGCGGGCTCACGAGCAACTGGCGCAACGGTCTCACGGGCGACTGGAGCTGGTGGCTTCACGACGTCCACCCCCCTACAACTTCCCCCATTCCCCAAACCTCCCTGTCACACCCCTACCACCACTCCCTCATCTCCCCCACACCCCCCCACACCC